CCACTCATGCGTATATGTCTTAATCTGGCTCTGCCACTAGTTGAGCGAGCATTACTTCCCATGTACATCCGAAACATTTCATAATAATCCATTGTTTTTTGTGCTTGTTTATTGAGTGTGACTGCAGAATAAGCCATCATGGGCCCAAAGAAAGTTCCTAGTGCCAGCCCTTTGGTAAAGAAGTTGAGAAACACGATAGAATTCAAGAAAGACATTGTAGAAAAATACTAAAGTGGCATACATGTGGCGAGCTCGCCAGAATGTATGGCAAGTCCAAATCAACAATCAGTTCCATCCTGGCAAAGAAAGTAGAAATCAAGGAAACTGATGTTGCAAAAGGGGTAAATATGCTAGCAAAACAGAGATCACAAACAATCAAAGATGCTGAGAGGTTGTCGTTGGTGTGGATCAGTGAAAAACAGATAGCGAGAGATAGTGTTGTGGAGTCGATCATTTGTGAAAAGGCTAGGCAGCTGCATGTGGATCTCGTAAAGAAAATGCCTGGAACGAGTGCTGCTGTTAGTCAATTTAAGGCCAGCAGAGGCTGGTTCGACAGATTCAAGAAGTGTAATGGCAGACAGTGTTGTAAGGTATGGTGAGGCTGCAACTTTAGACAAATGTGCAGCCAAAGAATTTGTCAATGAATTCAAGGAGTACGTAGAAGCTGAAGGATTCGTCCCCCAACAAGTCTTCAATTGTGACGAAACAGGCCTCTTTTGGAAGAAAATACCAAAGAGGGCCTACATCACCTAGGAGGAAAAGGCACTGCCAGGATACAAGCCTATGAAGGATAGGCTAACTCTTTTGCTCTGTGGTAATGCTGGTGGGGATTTCAAAGTGAAGCCTTTACTGGTACATCACTCTGAAAATCCCCAAGTTTTCAAGAAAAACAATGTCGTCAAGAGTAAATTGTGTGTGGTGCGGAAAGCTAATAATAAGGCATGGGTCATGAGGCAAATTTTCATTGACTGGGTCCATGAAGTGTTCGGCCCGAGTGTGAAAAAATACCTCCTGGAATATAAATTGCTACTGAAGTGCCTCCTGGTACTGGACAATGCTCCTGCTCATCCTCCAGTTTTATAGCAATGAAGTTCTTGCCTCCTAACACCATTCCTCTCATCCAGCCCATGGACCAAAAGCAATGTTTCAAAGGTGCTTTGAAATGACCTCAGACACTTAATTGACCCTAAGAGAGTTCTGGAAGAATCACTTCAATATCTTCAACAGCACGAGCCTTATAGGTAAGGCTTGGCAGGGAGTTACTTCCAGAACTTTGAACTCTGCTTGGAGAAAACTGTGGCCAGAATGTGTCCTTAAGAAGGATTTTGAAGGGTTTGAGGCTGACCCTGATGACCCTATGCCTGTTGTGGAATCTACTGTGTCTTTGGGGATGTCCATGGGGTTGGAGGTGGGTGGCCAGGATGTGGAAGAGTTTTGGAGGACCACAGGGAAGAGCTAACCACTGAAGAGCTGCTGGACCTTCATCTGGAAGAGCAACAGACCACTGCTGAGGAAATTGCTTCTGAGGAGGAGGAAGAGAGAGGGGCAAAGGTGCCTTCTTCAGTGATTAAGGACATCTGTGCAAAGTGGAATGAGGTGCAAACTTTTGTGGAAAAATATCACCCTGACCAAGCTGATACAAGCCGTATCTGAAACATGTTCAGTGGCAATACCTTGTCCCATTTTAGGCAAATCTTAGAGATGTCAGAAACAGAGCTCTCTGAGCAGATTTTTAGTGTGACAGGGATCCAGTGCTAGTAAAAGACAAAGAGGGGAAGTAACCCCAGAAAGGGCTTTGATACCTTTAGTCCTTATGGAGGGGGATTCTCCTTCCAAACAATAACCTCTGCTCCTCCTCCCTCTCCTCCCCTTGCCATCCATACCTACACAAGAGTCTTCAATAAAGGTAAATGCAATGTTAAATGTTCGTTTATCAATTTCATTAGTCATTTATATTTCTTTCTCATTGTTTTCTGTGTTATTCTTTAAAAAATGAATTTTTTTGTTAATATTTTTGAGTGTCTGTAACGGATTAATTGTATTTACATTATTTCTTATGGGATATACAGTGGACCCCCGCATAACGATTACCTCCGAATGCGACCAATTATGTAAGTGTATTTATGTAAGTGCGTTTGTACGTGTATGTTTGGGGGTCTGAAATGGACTAATCTACTTCACAATATTCCTTATGGGAACAAATTCGGTCAGTACTGGCACCTGAACATACTTCTGGAGTGAAAAAATATCGTTAACCGGGGGTGCACTGTATTACTTTGGTTTTCGTCCTTTTCGGATTTAGACCAACCTTCTGGAACGGATTAAGGACAAAATCTGGGGTTCCACTGTATCTATTTTCTGGATAGGCATTTTGCCATAAAATAAGGTGATTTTTGGCTTGTACAATGTTATAATGAAAACCAGGCATTTTTCAATTGTTGTTGTAATAGAGCAACAACAGCTAATGCCTCATGTTTAGGTGTCCTTACACAATTTTTGGTGACAATTTCAGAAATTATCTGAACTGATAGAGGCCAATATTTATTTTGCAAATTATGCTTAAAGTTGCCAAAAAAAGTGTCGTGACAACTATGATGACAGATTATGATCTTACTGATTTTTGACAAAACAATGTAACAGAAAATTTTGTGAAAGTGACTCATTTTATGCAGTTGGATCGTACATTCTTGCATATGCTTCATTATGATGTACTTGAATAAATAAATTTCAATAGACTTTGCTCTTTTTTTGTACAGTGTAACATTTACCTGTATACTATTTGAGCTGTAATATTTATGCCCAAATTTTATGTTTGTCTGATGCTTATTTCAACTGAATGAGTGAAAAGAATTTTATTTTTTTGTAGGCAGAAAAAATGGAATCTGCAGAGCTTATCAGGTCTGAAAGTGAAGTAAACCCAGCCTGGCAAGTGAATCCACGTGCCACTGGACTAGCTGACAATTCAATAAGGTGCCATTTTATGAAATTTTATGTGAAGAAAATAGGCTTCAAGTTTTTCAAGTATTTTGAAGCTGAAGATCAAGAACTGTTAAGCACTCAGGTTTGAAGTTCAATGATGAATCAAGAATCTGTTTGCAACACGAAGCTTTTTTTTAACAGTGTATGAACAGCAGGAAAGATACCACTGTAATCCATTTTCAAAGGAAAATCACAGTATTAAGAAGAACCTTGATTAAACTGATCAACTGCTTAACTACAGATAAGATGAAAAATAATAAAAAAAAAGACACAAGGCCAAGGCAAGAATGGTGCATATCATGCCAAAAAGACTTACTGACAGCTTTAAGCTTAATTTCAAAATAAATATTGGTCCCTGTCAATTCAGATAATTTCAGAAATCACCACTGAAAATTGTACAAGGACACTTAAACACAAAGTTCTAGCTGTTGTTGCTCTACAACAGCAACTTAAAAAAAGCCTGGTTTTCATTACAATGTTGCACAAGCCAAAAATCACCTTATTTTAAGGCCTGTTTTCTCCCTTCAGGGGCAAATTGCCTATCCATAAAATAGATATCTTGTAGTTTAGAAACTGCTCTTTCTAGTGAAGGTTTTTAAAGAAAATTGGTTGTGCTACTTTTTTTGATATTGGTCTTCAAAGTTGGCCTAAAATTCACCGTGAGGTCTGTGAGAGCAGTTTTAGGTACCATTACCTCAGGAACTAAAAACATTTGGAGTCTGATATTTTAGGATTGTGACAAATGTCCACTTGGGTAGCTGGCTACAATAATGTCATTCCAAAATAATGTTTTTCTTTAGAGATATGAGCAGCTGAATTCAAGATTCATGTAAAATTTTATCGAAATTGGAGATGGTCAGGTGGAGACCCCTGGTCCACTTAGACATGGGATGACCCAGCTGTCACAGAGACTTTGTTGATGACAGTATGCTTATAAGAGATTCTAAGAGAGTAGACAGAAGTTGATGCAGTAGTTTGGAAAAAATGCTTTGAATAAATGATGTTTAAACTCTTACTAATTATATAAGGAATGCACTGACAGGCAACTAGTGAGGTGACGAAGGGTCAGGCAACAGACATTCGTAGTTTCCTTCTTTCACCTCATAAGGAACTCAAGTGAACAACTTTTTTTTTTTGACATTCACCTCATAAGCCCCACTGCAAATGATGCCTGATTCAACCTAACATATATTACTGATATTTAACAGTTTTTTTTTTTTCTAACCAAATTTTGGTTTTCATTGCCTTATAAAAAATATTAAGGTTTTGAAAAAACCCTACTTTCACAGAAGTGACCAGTTTCAAGAGCTCTTCTACCCACACAGCTTGACCTAAGACCAAGCTTCCCTGTTGTACACCTGGTCAATCAAGATGTTTGTGTTAGCTGTCTGCAGGCCCACATAACTATCACAACTCAGTTGATATGGCACTTGTAGCAGGAAATCATCCAGGTCCTTGAAAAACTTGTCTTCATTCCAGATAGTATTTCCAATATCTGCTAGTAGCATGTTGAAATCTTGAACTATGGACAGGCACAGTATTTTCTAAATGTACCCATGGTATCACTGCTCTTTATTGAGTTTATTCCAAACTTTTTCCCATACTTTCACTCTGTTAAGTTGTTTTAACACTGTGCAAGTTAGGAAACAGGCCTTCAAGTACTTTTTATATATTGGTATATATTATCAGATATCTCTTTACTTCTTTAAATATTAAATTTTCTGTACCATAATATTTTGAACGTGCATGAGTGAATGAAGGGCAATTCAGTAAAAAAAATACATAGCCGAACTGGAAAACATGTTATATGGTGAGATCTACCTCACCTCAACATACATCAGCAAGTCATCGGTTGCCTGAACAGTAGATATAAGCATCTCACTGATATCTACTTAACCACAGCAAAGCAAGAACAAATTTGAAAAGCAGCATTTTATAATTCAGTACTGAACCAGTAATACAAAGAAAATTCTAAAAAAAAAAAATTGTAGTTCCAACACTGCAAATTCAAGGTTTCTTACCTTGCAGGGACCCTTCTTGATTAGTGCCATCACCTGGTAGAAACAAAAAAAATAATTTACTCGTATTTCAAGTAAAGTATGTATACAATTACAGCCCAGCCACTGTATAAGTTGTCATTATGATTAACTAAGTTTATTACTAATTAGAATGGCCTAGTGTTGCCCTGATAAATGCTACCCTGAAACCCAAGTAGGCAGCTGTTCCTTTCATTAACATATATATTACAGAATGGGATGAAGTTCAGGGACTGCAGGCCTTTTACAGTTTGGAAGTCACATGAATGGTGATGTTCATGAATTTCTGGCAGGAAAGCAAAGTGGGTACTGAAAGAATGAAAGTGAAAGGGTTTCCTTCTTTGGGTTGACCTTCCTGGTGGAAAATAACCAATGTGGTAAAAAAATTATTGAGGATGTTAACTACTTTGGTTGAAATATTGACAATTTTGGGTGACCCCAAAGGGAAAAAAGGCATTTCTTTTTGGGGTTGTCTGGGGTTCCCCCTACACAAACCCGGGGCCGGGGTTTTGCAAATCAAGAACTTGGTTCCCAGGGGGCCCTAAAATTTTTTCGTGAAAAGGGTTTCGAGGGAAAATAAAAAAGTTAAAAAAATTTAACCCCAGAAATTTGGGCCAATTTTAAATTAAACTTTTGTGTTCTTTAACCATATCAAAGGGACCTTTCCCCCTTTTGTTGTCCTTTTACAAACCCCCAGTAAGGTTTAGGATCCTGGTTTTTTTGAAGTCCATTTTCTATCCTTTGGGGGGAAATTTTTTTGAAAAAAAAGGGCCCTTAGAAGACGCACTGTTTCTTTGGCTTTTCCCCCTTGGGTGGGGAACCCTGGCGTTGGAAAAAAAATTTCCGGAAAAAAATTTCCTTCCTTTTACAGGAAATTTGGGTTGGGCCCTCAGGGAATTTATTTTTTGAAATTTCCCTTGTATAATCGAAAAATTTTTGGATGTTTTTGGGGTCTTTACTTTAAAAAGGTTGAGGGCTTGATTTATCTAAACTTAACCCTTTCCACTTCTCCAAGGAGGGTAAGCCTTTTGGAAAAAGTTTCCCCCCTTTTAAAGATACCCTGGGTTAAAAATTTGGTTTGCTTTTTAAATTCCTCTGGATTTTCCCCCGGGAACTTTCTTCCTGCCCCTTTTTAATTTCCCCTTTTCCTTTTAATAGTAATTAAAAAACTTGGAAAAGGGGCCCCCCATTTCTCCAAAAAATCGGGTAAAGGATACAGGCCTAACCCCTTAACTCGTGAATTTTACTTTTTCCAAAAATTGGTCCTTTTTGCAGAAAATTTGGGGCCCTTTTAGGTCAAATTTTTGTACTGGATCCCCCAACGGGGTTGACCCCCCACCCGGGTTAAATTTTTATTGAGAAACAAGCCATTCCCCCTTTTCCCTTATAAACCCCAAGTTTTCCCCAAAAACCGGGTAGAAAGGGTAATTTTTATAATTTTAAATTATTTTTTTAAATTTAAATGGGACCTAAAAAAAGGGGAATCAGCTTTTGTGGGGGGAACCCCCGGGGAAAAAGTGCCCGGGGGTTTTGGGCTCCTTAAAGGGGCAAAAGGGGCCCACAGAAAACCCAAAAGGCCCCCCAAGTTCCACCCCCCTTGGGGGGTTAATGACCCTACCTTTCCATTTTTTAAAGCCCACCTTACTAAGGAATTTTTGGCGGGGAATTTTGAAAACAAAAAACCTTTCCAGAAATTTAATTTCCCCAACAAAACCAAAAGTCGGAATGAAAAAAATTTTAAGGCCAGGAAACTACCCATATATTGGAAAAAACCTTTAAAAACCCAAAGCCCCCAATTAAAAACCCCTTTTTAACTGCCCAAAGCAAAAGAACCTTAAATTTCGTTTCCCCCCTTGATTTTCATTCCAAAACCCTTTTTAAACAAAAATTTTTGGAACCCAAAAAACCCAAAGGCAAGATCACTTTTGGGGAGGTTCCTTTTTGTTTCTTACCCCAAAAATTGCAAAAATTTTCCAAGGAAACTTTTAAAAGGCCCTTTCGGACTATTTTTTTGGAAAAAAAAAAGAAACACCCAAGGGTTTTTTTTAATTCCCCCAATTCTTCTTAAAAGACCCTTTAAAATTAAACCCACACCATAAAAAAAACTAAATTAAATTGATTTTTAAAATTTTTTTAAAATTTTTCTCAAATTTGTTCAAAAGGGGAATAAAAGACCCCAATAAACCCTTTGTTATTTTTAATTACCATTTTAAAACTTTAATTACTCCACTACTAATGTACAGCAAGGCTTAAAAAATTTTTCCGTCTTTGAAATTTTCCTTAAAATAATTGTTTAACATAAAAGTTTTTTTTGTTTTTTTCCGGGGGGTTTTAATTTGTTTTACATGAAAACCTCAATTCTTGGTTAAACTTAAGAATTTTTAATCCTAATCTTTTTTGGAATCCCAAGGGGTTTTAAAAAGTCCTTAAAACCATTTTTTTTACTTCCTGAAAACGGTTCAAATTAAATTAAATAATAAAAAATGTTGGGATGTGCCAAAGCAAACACCCCCAGGTCCAAATTTTCTTTTTGTTTCGCCAGGGGGTTTTTTCCTAGGGCTTTTGCCTGCCAAATGCCTTCTCCCTTTTTGCCTTAAAGGGCCAAAGGGATTATTTTAAATTAAAAAAATTAACTGCCACTATTTTTCCCCAATTAATATCTCTGGTAAAAAATTTTCCCCCTTGTTTCCCATACGCACAAAAACTTTTTTTTTTAAACCCCGGGGTGTGTTTTTATCCGGCTTAAAAAACCCCTACTTCCAAACAAAATTATTACACCCCCTAAAACCAACATGCCCCCTTTTTTGAAATCTCCCCAAATTGTTTTTAATTTAATTTTTAATTTTTTTTTAAATAATTTTTCAACTGAAAATTTGTTTTTAATTTTAATTTTAAAAAAGTGTTCCTAAAAGGGGCTTTCATGTGCATTTAAGGGTTTTTTGAATTTCCTGTTCATGAAATTTAATAAAAATAATAAATAAAAAAATTGTTGAGGGGTGGATGGTGGTAAAACCCCTTTTTTTTGGCCGCTGGGGTTTTTCCCTTTGGGTTTTCCCCGGGGGGATGGCCCCCACCCTTGGGAAAATTTTAATTAATTAAGGGGGGAACCCTTTCCAATATTTTCCGTATTTTTCCGGGGACCATTGGGAAATAAAGGTTTTTTCCCCACCAAGGTGTAAATTGTTAAACCACTACTTGGGAAACTAAACCCCACCTTCCCCCCTTTGGGAACCCCCTTTTTCTTTTTCAAATAACTTTTAATGCCAAGGAGAGGGGTTTTAAAATTTTCGGCCCTTTTGGGGTTAAAGCACTGGAAACTGTTTTTTTGGGGAGGGAGCACAGGGGAAAAGGGACTTTTAAAACGGAAATTTTGTGGAGGGGTTTTGGGGCGGGAAAAAGTAAAACCGTTCCCAGGTATAGTAAATTTTAAAAATTTGGAAAAGGGGGAATTAAAAGTTTTTTCCCAAGAGAGGGGGGAAATTTTAAAGGGGCCAGGGCTTTGGGTAATTTGGTCAAAATTTAAAAAAAAAAACGGAAATTGGAAAAGGAAATTTAAAAGGGAAAGGAAGTTTCCCAAGGGGGGGTTTATTATCAAATTGGGGTGGTGCAGGAATAAGAGGAGATTTTAGATTTAAATTGTTTTGGGGTTGGGGTTTTAAAAACATTGGATGTTTTCCTTTAAAACAGCTGGTTTAAATTAAAAAAGCGGGAAATTTTGGCGGGAACTTTGGGTTTTAAAATTGGTTTTAAGTAGAAAAAAGAAATGGGGGGAAGGGGGGTGGAGGGGGCTTTTGTTTTTTGAAGGTTTAGCTTAAAAAGGATAATTGTTTTGAAACTTTTTTTCCCAAAAAAACCCCCGGGTTTAAATTAAAAAGGGGGGAAGTAAACATACGGGTTTTTAAATTGCCGGATAGAAAGGAATTTGGCTTGAGGGAGGAAAAGGCTTTGGGGAAATTAAGAACCCGGTTTTTTGGTGTTTTGGGGGTGTTTTTTTGGGAAAATCCCCTCCCCCAAATTTAAGATGGGGCCCAAAAGGGAAAAACATTTTAATTGGGAGAAATTTTTAAACCCCCAAAAAGGGCACGAAAAATGTGTAATTCTGGGGAGACTTTAATTTTTAGTAAATAGGGGGATTTGGAATTTCTTGACGGGGGAATTTAAACCCCTTTTTAAACTTTTTAAATATTTTTCAGGTTTGGGGGTTTTTTGAAGAAATTTGTGACAAAACCCTACAAGGGGAAATAACCTTTTTGGATTTAAAGTTTGGCAAACAATGAACCCCCTTGTTAATTTTTTTAGAAATTTCGGGGAAGGGGGGTTGCAAGCAAACCCACAAAATTAAAATTTAAAATTTTAACTTGAATGGAAGTACGATATTTTAGGGGTTAAACTCAAAAACAGCCCCAGTTTTTGGGATTTTACAATTACGTTAGGTTTAGAGAACATTTATAAGCTTTTGCTCTGGGGTAACGAAGTAAGTACCCAATATGACAGTTTTTTTTGTCACTAAAACTGTGCTAAAAAGAACGTTTTTTCCCGTATAAAAAAAAATTTAATCAAATAGTTTTTTAAACCCAAAAATGGATGTTTATTAGGCTAAAATATCATAGGGCAAAGGGAAAGGAATGAAATTAGACGTATCAAAAGGGGTTTAAAGGGTCTTTTTTTAAAAAAAAAAATCACGGGTTTATTGACATTAAGAGGGACTTTAAAAAAGGGGGATAAGAAAAGCAAAAAAGGATTTATAAAAAAAAAAGTTGCTGGGGATTTTTAAAAACTAACCCCAAAATTTTTTTCCAGGCTATAGAAAAAAAAATTTTAAGAGATAAGAATAGGCCCCCCTTTAAAAAAAAAACTAGGGGCACCTTACTGACAAAAGAATGAAATGTGTTTTGGTTTTAAAAATTTTTATTTTTTTTTCTAAAGTTTTTAACACAGGAAGACACTAACAATTTTTCCGAAAATTAGTTTTTATAGTGGGCTAGAAGAAAAAAAAATTTAACATCACAGTACAAGTAAA